CCCCCCCCCCCGCTCCTCTCACCCCTGCACAGCGTCGGAAAATTCACAGCTGCTTGTTACGAGCGGAATGCCCGCGGTTTAAGAGACGAACGTCGCTTACGTAATCCCGCGGCGAGATTTATGAACGACGGGACGCGTTGTTCCTTCTTCTTCATCATCATCATCATTTTCTTTTTCCCCCGCGGTACTTTGGTCGGCGCGTCGCGATGAAATTCGCGAGTCAAAAGGGCTCCCCCCCGGCTTTCGCGCTCAGTCACCACACACAGGCGTCGTGCAATTTTTATCCTCCAAACCACCGACAGCGGGATAAACGAAGCCGTTGACGGCGCTGGCATTTTTCCGCGTAGCGAATCGGGCGGCCTCGTAAAAAGCGGGCCTGGAACCTGTTACCTTCCGAGAGAGCGGCCCCGCTCGATCATCCGCGCTGCGCGCGCGCTCTCTCAAGCGCGCAATTAACCGTTACCGAACCTTTTAATCGCGCTCACCTTTGGAAGCGGGAAGGAAAGGGTGGATCGCTTTTCGCCGCGCGGAAACGGCCGACGGCGACGGAGGCGGCGGCGAAATGTCAATTATACACTTGGGACACCGACAGAAGCGACGAGCACGTTACGCACCTCGAGTTCCACGATATCATTAAATCGCGTCGTTAGCACGCGCATACGAGAAGGGGAGGGGAAGAAGCAGAGAGAGAGAGAGAGAGAGAGAGAGAGAGAGAGAGAGAGAAGTGATGAGTGGGTATCAAAGCGAAGCGGACGAGAGTATTATTCCGAGAGCGGGAGACACGGTGAACTAAATGATCGATCGACAGATCGACCGACAGGTACACGCGAAGACGCGGCGCGAAGAAACAGGTCGCTCCGCTCGCTCACGGCTACTTCAGAATCGAAGACGTCAGTCGGACTTGACCCGGCGCCTCCACTCGGCGGCTCGCGTTCCCGCATCGGCGATCCGCGGCGTGCATTCTGCATTCAGCGCGACCACCGCGGAGATAAACCTGGGGTTTCCGACAGAGCCGGATGCAGCGCGAGAGAGCACGTGGCCACGTTTGTAAGTCAGCTTGTCGCGGCCTCCCCCTCCCTCCTCCGCGCGGAGTCGTAAGGGTCCAGGTAAGAAGCGCGCTCGCGATAGACGTTCTGCACACGTTCGCCGCTCGTAAACGCCATGCAGAATCTCGCCATGCGCGAGATGCAAATCACATACATACCTATCGGCGATGACGTCGCCGCAGCACGTGGCGCGTTTCCGGAGCACCTGCAGCACTCGCACTCGCGCGCGCTCGCGCTCTCGGTCTCGCGCGAGCGCGTTTGGCCACCGTACAGTCCTGGTCTCGCACACTTTACGACGGCACCCCCGAGGTGCATGTATCCTCGGCCGCAGCGGTCAACTGGCACTGGCTCGCCGCCGGCAGACTCGTCACCTGAGAATTCACTTTTCGGCCGGAAGTAGTGGCGCGTGCAACACGATCGTGTATCTGAGTCGGAAAAGAGGAAAAGAAAGAGAGAGAGAGAGAGAGAGAGAGAGAGAGAGAGAGAGAGAGAGGGAAAGGTGGAGGAGAGGAGTAGAGGAAGGGATCGAGAGAAGGAAGAGGGATCGCCCCCTACGCAGAGGAAGGTGATCAGGTAACTCTCGGGGCGAGGACGAGGAGGGATAGAGGAAAGCCGACGCGACAACGGTGAGAGATCAGGGAGGGCGCGACGGTGCGGATGATAGACGGATAGAACGCGGATGCCGGCCCGCCGGAGAACTCGTGGGCACGATCGCCGTCACAACACTAGTGGCCTGATACACTCTTCTGGTGGTACATACACACGGTCCGTCTCCCTGTCTCCCTCGCTTCTCTCTCTCTCTCTCTTTCTCTCTCTCTCTGTCGCCGTCTCTGTCTTTCTCTCTCTTTCTCGCGAGCGCTCTCGACTCCTTCTGCACGTACGTGCGTTTCCTCCCGGTGCACACACCGTGCGAACTCGCGTGTGCATACGCGGGCACGCACGCACACACACACGCGAACGCGCGTACACATACGCACACATACGCACACCCACACACACGTGAGCCCGCGAGCTGCTGTGCGTGTGCTCTCTCGCCTCTCCTTTTTTCCGCCTCCTCTCACGTCGCGTAGAAGGGAACTCGCGTTCCCTCCTCCTACTCTCGTTCGCGTCTTGGCCGCCCGCGAAAGCACACACCGCGACAGGGCGATCTACTAGGTGAGACTAGTTCCTCCACCCAGTCGTGGACCCGTTTTCTGTGTGCGCCTCTCTCCTACGGTCTCCTTCCGTCTCCCTCGTCGTCGTCCGTCCGCCTCGCCGTCTCCCTCTACTTCTCTCGCTCGTTCTAGCGCGTCTCATTCTCCGTCGTGGACGGCGCGCTTTTTGCGCGCCTCTCCGAGGATTCTTCCTGATTTTATGAGCGCCTACGGAGCAGTGCCACGTCCCCGGATCCCGGTGATCCACGGTTCGTGAATCGCGGGATGAACCGGCCGCTGGGAATCTACCCATCTTCTCGAGAGACTCGCGCGATAGGAAGCGAACGAAACGAAATGGGACCGCAACGTTATTGAACTAACGTTTTCATTTATCACATAGAAATTATATTTCGCGAGTACACTCGTGTGTGCCTTCGCGTCAGTCGTCGAACGGGGAATTTGCACACATCGTGATCTTGGCGTACACGTGTGTGCGTGTACGTGTGTCTCAAGAGTAGGATCGAGAAATCTTAGACCGGCGGCCTAGTCGCTCGATTTCCTTCCGTATCTCTTTTATTGCTACTTGCTTCTGTCCCTTCTTAAGCCAGGATTGCTCGGAGGACACGCGAGAGAATGCTTCCTCCGGGTTTACGAGCTCTTATGACACGCTCCGGCGATCCACTCGGATTAATTGCGCGATATACCGTTTCGTCCTCTCGATGGAACCATTAAGTCGATATAGCCGGTAATACCTTTTCCAGACGCCGACGATAAAAAATACTCGCAGCAGCAGCAGCAGCAACGGCGGCAGTGGCGGCACCGGCAGCAACACACATCTCTGCGGAAGATAGAGATCTCAGTGAAATTAATTTCACCATCGGCTCGCAAATCCAATTTCGCCGCAGTTTCCGGGAGAAAAATGTACGGATTAATTTTTTCCGAGTCGAAACCGATCTAACGCGGGAATTAATGGACTAGGAAGATAAGAAATATGTAATGCGGCCAATCAATATCCCCGCGAGTGAGGAGCGCGTGGGATTCGCGGCGGGGCAGACGCGCGCGCGCTTTTCGCTTTTCGTCCCGCGTTTTCGTGTCGCTGTTTGCCTACATCCTTCACGCGATCCTCCTGCGCGCGTATATTCAATTTCATTCTTACGCCCTCTGTATATTTAATCTATGGATCGGGAAGAGAGCGAGACGCATGAAGGAAAGGCACGGAGCGTGATATCGCAGAATATCGCGTCTATCTTACCTGACACGCGCGTTTCCACTCCTGATCCGATACTCCAATATGTATGCATCGTCGGCTATTTCTTTCTTCCTCGGACAGTGATAAATTTATCGTTACGTTCATTCTTAATCCTTTCGATTCACCGCCCGGCCCTCTTCATACTCCCGTCTCTCGTTCTCGCGAAGGGATTCGCCCCCGATTTCGCAAGCGGTCCCGGAGCACGCTCTCCGCCGGCTCCACTCCGACGGATTGTATCTCTCCTCATTGAGCCCGCTCGACCGAAATCGAGCTCATCGGCATCCCACGCGTAAAGGAGCTCCGACGTGTAGTGCCGAAATGGGAGGCGAGGTGGGATCGCACGTGAACAGCATCCGAGAGAGACAGAGAGAGAGGAAGAGAGATGAGAGACCGGCAATGTTGCTGCGGGATTAAGTACGAAAGCGATGCCAAAGAGGAATCTCTCTTCGCTAAGCTAAAATGCGCAACAAACCGTTACCGCCGTCTCAAAGAGATAGTTCTTTCACGGGCATTAAATAAATTGCGATAAGTCCACGTAATTGGCGAGACCAGTGGAAGAATAAAGTCTTCAGTTCGATAAGTCGCACTTGTGTATTTTAAAGCAAGTGAATGCAATTATCGATTTACGGTGTGTTCCGATCTACGGTATTGCGCTTTGATCAGTAATGACGAGGATATTTCAAGTGATTGAGACGTAATGACACAGACATTGAATTTTCTTCGATTGGACGAATTGACTTAATAATTGTAAAATAATTATATATAAGATTATATATACATATATGTATATATAATATATTATATATATGTATATATATATATATATATATATATATATATATATATATATATATATATATATATATATATATATATAT